GGGAAGAGGCATCCCTGCCCATGATCCCAGAGATTTCACTTCATACAGATATCCATGATGAAAATAAGTGGCCTTGAGATTCAGCCCTGAGCTGCGTCTGCACATTAATGCCCTTCTGCACACCACACCCGATATTTACAGCGTACTGACTGTAACAGCTGTAAGAGCACCAGAAATGTCCGTCCAGGTCTGGAGCCCCGTGGAAATCAGTCATGGTTTCACCACCAGCAAACAGGAGGCAGCATGCTGCCCCACTGCACGTGGACAAAGTTACAGGCAGGAAAGCCCAAGAAGTAAACAAACACACAGCCCTCTGAGTTCTTGGGATAAGCACTGACTGTAGCAATTAAGGCTCTGAGCTCAGAACTATTGCATGCAGTCCTTGGCAGTTCAGTGGATATTCCTATATTCGCTTCAGTATTAATTGAATTAACTGAATTTTAAATTACGTAATACCACTCGTTTCCCATTATTTTGGTGGAGAATTTGGGAATGCAGAACTGTGCTGTTTGATTCCATCTGCTGGTGTTTCTTTTCTTACCACTTTGCCAAACCAAGCACACTCATCATGAGCACATACATCACAAACCTCACTGCCATCCCACACGTCCTCATTGAACAAGGAAGAAATGGGTTGTTTTTATCTGAGCAGGAGAGACTCTTCTGTTTCTGGATGCAACAAAGACTGAATGGAAGTCTCTTTATATTTTTGTGCACAAACAATATTTGAAAAAAGCTGCAACTGTTTCTAGCAGATTGCACACACTATTCATCCATGTGCAATGCTCTCCCATTAGGTGGGACATAAATAGGCTCTACTGTGAATTCCTTCGAAGGAATTGCAGATTAAGCATTCATGCCATACTCACAATGGCAGATAAGTATCTGATCTGAAATTTCAGCACTGTGGTGGTTAAAACAGTGAGAGAAAAACAACATTGTTTTGCACTTAGAAACCTGTTTCTAATCAGCTGAGCTACTCCTATGGGGTCAAATAAAAATGATTAGCTTATTAAAAGCATAGCTTTACTATTTAATAAGCAAAAATGATTGAAAATTCTGTTCCAGATCCTGATAATTTTAGTGTTTCTAGTTAAGCCTGCAAAATTGCATTCATTATTAGTGTCTAGATTCATTAACAATTCAATTTATAGATATTAATGCTTATAATGCATGCTTCGCTTGCCAAAACTTGAAGAGAAATTGTTTCAATTAGCTTTCATGGATCATGAATCCTACCGGCTGGGTATTTTTAGACAAAAGATACAAACACATCCCCAAGCAATGCTAATGCACAGCTGGGATTCATATGTAAGGTCAGCTAGCAGTTTAAAAGGAAAAACAGTAAATGAGTTTTACACAGAAGAGTTAGACAAGAAGAGAACCAATCAAATATTTGCAAGTTGCACTGCTCTTCTAATAAGAGCCAGGATTCTCTGTATTTTCTGCTGTATTTCTAAAAAGTCAGACCAGCAATATATAAACCGATGAGTAGGTTTACGGATGTTTTCAGCATGTGACTAAGACATAATGGATACATGTACAGGCCCAAGGCAAATTGTTCCATTCTCATTTTCATTCAGACCATATAATTAAAATCAGTAAAGATGCACAGAAATAACAGAGAACATGATTTTGCTCACTCCTTTTTTCTTTCCTTAGGTCAGCTACAGTCAGGCAGAGGAAACTCAAATCTACACATTTCTGCACTATGCATGCAACACCAAGGAGCCACAAGGTGACAATAAGGCACTGGGTTGAGCTGACCAGTTTGTTGGTTCAGGCATATCATGGCCTGTGCTGTGACCTGCACATGATCAGAAGGACTGGAAGTAGCCCAAACTGCTCCCAGTTACACTGCACAAGGAAGAGCTGAACTCTGCCAAACACTGAGCACTTGCTCAATTCACTGAAGCACTGTGCATGAACCAAGGAAAGTATGCAGCCCCAGGACAGAGATTAGCGATTTTATCTGAGCACTTAAAGGAAAAGCACCCAGAATGCTTCCATCCACATGCTGACCTTATTAATTTAAAAATAAAAGTTACTATAAAAAGTTTGCTTTTGCCATTGCCAGTAATCCATTAACCTTCATTCTCTTACAACTCTGTAAACACCAACAGAAAAAGGGTGAGATTTTAAATGCAGGTACTCCTAGAAGGTATAACAGGGTACTCCGAATGTCTCTGAAGTCAGAGCAAACCCTTGGAGATGAGGAGCAGACCTGCTGTTCCTTCTTCCTAGATACCTGGGTTTGTGTTGCAAGGACCTCTGCCAAGCAAAAGGCGACAGTCTGTACCTGCTGCACAGCGCCGAGCTTCTGAAATGAGACCATCTTCCACTCCTCAAATGTTAAACTCTCCACGATCGTTCACATTGCTGAACACCTGAATACAATGCAAAGATGCTGGCTTTGCTTTGATTTTTCCATTTTGGTGGTCCATCTCCATTTGCAGGGGGGGTGTCTCTAAAAACAGTGTTGGAATTTCCAGTTAACTCTTTTAGTAAAGAAGCAAAAAAGAGCATAAACCCACAAACCTTAACTTGTACTACCCGCGACCCCAGTTTCATTACTTGACAGCTTTAGCTTGAACAGTATGTAAAAAGGAGTCAACTAATTTAATAAGCAAAGCGCTTCAAAAATATATCAGAAATGAAATGATAGAGCCAGCCTTACTGCCAACAGCTGTGGTCAGCAATGAAATCATTAGCAATACCACATTGCTATTCGAGACCATAATTCATTTGGTTTAGAAAGTCCACAGAGGGCCGACTTGCTTTGCCATGAAAAACTGAGAGCAGATTCCAAGTGCATGAAGATCAGTTCTTTACGTCCCCTGCTTCCCACACACAGACTTGTTTGTTTTTCACCAGCCTCAAAGCAGTTCCTTTGACCATGTGCCCAACCTGAAACCCACAGACCTCTCCTGTGTTCATCCTCATCTTGGCGATCTCTTTTAAGGTATTTTCAGATTACCAGATTTGCCATAACTAAGAACCTAAAGTAGTCCCAGATAGTAAACATTTCCACCGCGGGCCCAAATTCTGCTATTTTTGAACATTTATGAAAATAATTTATTTCCGACATCATTTCCCAGGTTTATTTCTGATCTCTATTCCTAAGCACACCCATATCTGAATTATGATGTTCAGCAAATTCTGTCTGAAACCAAATATCTGATACTGATGTCTCGTATTTAGAGTTTTATATAACACCACTCTGCAGCCCACCTGGAAACTAATGGATAAAGATACTCCGAAAGGAAAAGAAGTCTGTATTGTTAGGTTATGGAAAGGCATCGACAAAAAAAAACAAAACATTTTTGTTGTTGTTTTGTGTTTCAAAACCGTCTCTTTCCCTGTGCAAGCCAAGGTGAGATGGTTAAACACAAGGGGGCATGCAAATGATCTGCAATGCTCTACAGAAGAGTATGGAGTACTCCCTTCAGCCCTGGGTGAAGAAAACCAGGGCACGTCAAATTCAGCTCTTATGTAATTGGGCCATCGTGTTCTGACTTCACCTGCGTTTCCAGATGGTCTCAAGATGCTGGTCAATCTAAGCTCCATTCCAGCTGCCTAGCCCTGAAGTGACTGAGGTCTACATATGAAAGCAACTATACAATTCCATTTCTTTTATTCCGTGCAGATGGGAAAGCAGCACACATGCCATAGCTGTTAAGTACCCAGAAGCAGAATAAAAACTAACAAAACTAAATTAGAAAGTTATGTTACAAGCAACTTGTCCTGCTCCCTTAGAAATCTTTGCATAAACAACTTCCAATCTACCAGCATTATCCCAGGCTTGTCTATTTCCCATACAATCTCACTGTTGTCAGGTAAGACTTCCCTTTCAGCAGCCAGCTTGCAGCACTGAGGAGGTAAAGCTGAGAGCTACTGGCACGTAAAACACACTGACAGATGCAGGAAAAAAAAAAAGACGACTCAGACCCAACGGGTCAGTGCTCCAAACTTCTGCCTAATGAGTACCCACTGAGGGACGGCTCCATCGACTGCAGGCACTTCGATGCAACTAAACTGTCCATCCACCCACAGAAGGCCTGGGAAGTGATACATGTGCTGTCTGATTTACCTTCCCTCATGGCAGGGAGTTGGTCACCTAACAGAACATCCATCCTACACATCTGAGATGGCCAGAATCTTCACATGAAAACAAAACAAGTCATCCACACTGACTGGAGGACATAGAACTCGTGAGCCGTAGCCTGGAAATGGTCCAGTGTCTGCAAAACATCAACAAACTCAAGTATTGTGACACACGAAGGGAGTGGATTGGATGCAGAAGGTGTTTCTCTGAAGCCTACCTCACACCAAGGAGTGCCAATCCGTGTCCTGCAATACCACCCTTAGCAGCATCAGAGTTCAGATGGATTTCTGTATGTCACAAGTGGTGCATCCCCAGGATGCAAATTTCTGCTGGGGGTGTCTACAAATTTATTTGGATTTATTATCCCCAAAATAACAGATGACCATTTCAGACCACAAGTGTTTAAAGCTGGCTGGAAGGAGCAACAAACCCTGCCCTCTCAATCCCAGCAAACTGTTTTCTCATGCACTCATTTTAAATATAGTTTCCCTGTTTCCTTTCTTAATCCAGCAAGAATGCAGCTTCCATGATTTACTTCTCTTTATACCACAATTGTTTTTCTGTTATTTTTTCAACTAAAAGGAATAGTTAGTGTGACATTCAAGACACAGATGCAATTCCTTACCTTTGGTGAGAACATTCCTTGGTACTGACTTCCTCCTCCCAGCTCACTTTCTAAAGGCAGGCTGTTGTATTGCAGCTTTAATCTTTTCTTCCTCCCATGCACAGATCAGACAGTTTGAAATACGTATTAGACTTAAATTTTTCACATCAATTTAATATTTTTCCTGTTTTGCCTTCTTTGGAAAGCAGGAACAAGTTTTAGGCAGAACAATAACACAAATGGAGTTATTAATGAGGAATTATGCTTGCAACTTTTCTGTTACCAAAGCTTTGTCAATTTTAGATGCTTCTGATATCAAAACGTCACGTGTCGCTGTGCTCACAGTCCTCCCTTGCAGTCGCTGCATCACACTACTGCTGTTCACTGTGGGGAAAACAAAGGAGTCACTTCCACACGTTCCCAAGTTTTGTAACCATAACTGTTTTAAACAGCATTAAAGTCTTTCAGATTCCCGTCCTCAGCTTTATCTCATCGTGACTGCTTTGCAGAGAAGATAAGCTGTGCAGAAATCAGAGTGGGATAAACCAAATCTCTGCAGAAATGCTCCAAATATCTCTCAAAGTGTCAATTTTAGAATTACAAAGCAGTTCAAAATTAAGCCTATTTTTAATACTTTGCTTTTTTATTTTAAATCAAAGAAAAACGTACTTTGAAAGATTCCCATCTCAGAAAATCACTGAGTCTAACATGATCAGAAATTCCATTTTTACCTCGTCTCAAAGATAGGAAATGTACAGCTTGCAGGAAAAAATCATGATAAAAGTTACTTGTGTGCAGGAATTGCTGCTCAGTTTAAAACAATGACAAACACAGCAGAACAGCCACCTTCTGCCTTTCTGCCCCCCCAGCCCATTCCCGTGCTGGGGATGCAGGCTCCTCGCTGGTATCTGAGCTCCGGAAAAGGAAGCCACTTCCTCATTAAGACATACCCAACTATGGTCATAACAGAGAGCCAAAAGTAGTAACAGATTTATTATTACCACAGTTTGGGAATAAAATGGCTTTTTTTTCCTTCTCCTTCTTTTTTTTTTTTTTTCCCCCCCCTGTTACTCAATCCAGTTAATTATCCATGCAAAGTAAAGTTATTCCTGGCAGCCACAGAGACAAAACCAACTTCAATACTGCTGTGGGTGGAGTGGTTGTTATGCAGGAGAAGAAACAAACTAGTTCAGTAAATTAGCCCAAACAAGATACGCACTGGGATTGGTCTCTAGAGATTCAAAATACCAAATTCAATGCTTTTAGGCTTATGGTACCTTTTATTTAATAGAGAAATGCCTGATCTGGGACTGCTGCACATCCCAGAGACGGTACAAAGAGGTGATTTTCTTCAGAGAGTGCCCTGAGGGTAACAGGAAGAATTACAGAAAGCTTCAAACCGTTCTGCTGCCCCAAATGTCCCCGTGCTATGGATTCTCACTTCAGCAACAAAGCTCAACCAGTGAGGAATTTGTGGTGGCTGCTGAAGACGTGGGCTGCTGTCACAAAGCACAGCGCCGGCTGCCACACCAGCCCTGCGTCTGCCTTGGAGAGCACGGCCTGATCTTGGTGAGAGGAGGTCCACGCTCAGACCGTGCAGCGCCTTTGGCCTCAGCACAGCTCAGCGCTGGTACCCAGCCCACAGCCAGGGCTCTCCAGAGGGCCCTGTGCCCGCAATGAAAAATCATCTGTCCTAGCAAGCGTCCCCACGGCCAGCTTTCACCTCAAAGAGACGCACCGACAGCAACCGGAGGATGGAGGGGTGACCCCAAAATCCCACACCTCCCAAAGGCACACACTGAGCAGGGACTGAAAGCAGAGGAAACCACAGATTCCAATGGAAGAACTGGGTTCAGCGGTCCGTGGGCACTGTGATCCCATAAACAACAAACAGGAACACAGATGAATACTATGGGAAAAGAAACCTCTTGCATTTTTTTCACTGCAGTAAAGTACAGACCACCAAGAACAGCTTGACTCAAATACCCAGCATTAGTTCCCACACGAGAGTTGTTATTGTTGGCTTCGACACCACGTCCAACAAGAACAGTAAGAACATGCATTCTGCTAATGTTTGAATAACCCTTGCCAACAAATTGATCCCACAGCAGCAAGGAAGTAGGAGATGGTTGCAAAAGATTAAGTGAGAGGTGGAGAGGGGAGACACACGTAGCACTGCTCTTTTAGTATAACTGTTCAGTGGAAGCTCTTTTATTTGCTTATTTTAAGTGGTTTATTTCTTTTCTCTTCTTAAAAAACAAAACAAAAACAGGGCATTGGTGAGCATCTGTAATTTTACATCCAAGGGAGATGCAGCTGCCAGGGAAACACAGATTCCACAGATGTTAACCCATAGGACAGCCCACATTAAGTAAATCTCTAAATAAGGGCTAGAAGGCACTTTCCAAAGAAAAACAACATTTTTCCAAAGTAGGCAGTGACAGCTGTCAGCTTAGCCCCAGTCCAGCAGGCAGGCTTCTATATTCAACTGGCTACCCTACAGTAAATCCATCCCTTCCATAGGTAAAAAGGATAAACAGGTTGTTGAAATAGAGGAAAATCCAGAGTGCCCTCCGTGCGTTACCTCAGTTTTCTTCTCTGAGAGAATGTTTTGACATATCTAAATGGTCTTGTAAATGGACCAGTAAACCCAGCTCCTCACTAGCCCACAGAACCAAGTCGTTGTGGCACTCGAGCGCTCGGGGCTCTGATCCTCAGCAGGGTGTGATGCTGAGCTGACAGCACCCAGCTACCCAAGGGCTCGAGTTTGTGCTCCTGCACAGCACCGCACGTAACTGCTGTCCCACAGCCAGCGACGGAGCTGTAACCTCCACACCAAACCCGGTCTGTTGTCTCTTTTCAGTCTGACAAGGAAGCAAATCTGCAGAAAACATAAATTGAACAGTAATTTTATTCTTACACGAACGTTTCTTCCCTAGGAAATAGATAAGCTTCCTTCTCCAGGAACAGGTCATAGTGCCGAGGACACTACTGGCCTGATTGCTCTCTTTAGGTACCTCCGTTCTGCTCCACTCCTCGAGCACATTCACCAGTTTGGCACACGAGCTCCTGAGATGTGTGTGAGTACATGCTGTGCCACGAACGTGAAGAAAACAGAACAGAGTGAATGATTACAATTACAGTAAGTTTATAATCATTGTTTTAAGCTGGTGCGGCCCGATGGCAGCTTGTCACTAAAAAAATTTCACCTTCTCAGTCCTTTACAAACTCTTAACATTAAATGGAGCTCTGTATCTTTAATCGTCGAAGTGATTTTCCAACTCACACAAGTAAACCTTTTCCATAGTACAGTCTCTTTTTAAGTTAAAAATAAAACAGCCAACTATTTTCTTTTTCCCACAGACGAGAACATTAAAACATTGACATTTTAATCTGTTCTATACAAGAGTGAGTTGTGTCAGCACACTGCTTCCAGCTACAACAACAGAAAAACCCAAGTTTAATTAAAGACAGAGTGGAGAAGCTGCCTTATGGTGTCTGAACCACAAAGCTGCAATGCACAGTCTTTTGCACACACCATCTTCGGGCTCAGCTTCCTTGCGGACAACTGCCTGGCAGAGAAGAAATGATGGCAAAGAAAGGGGAGATGAGAAAAAAGCATCTTTCTCCAAGAGGAAATCAGAAAGGTGAGAATCATAACTTTCACAAATTTTACCCAGAAAATAGCAATAGCATAGCACAAACACCCTTATCACCAAAACATACTGAAGTTAATCATGCTCGTGTCAGCCCCACCACTTCAGTGCTAGGACTCCTACTGACCCGTGCCTTAACACTGAACGAATGCGCATCTCTGCTGACAAGTTCATTTCCCCAGCAAGTTCCACTGACATTCTGTTTTCAACAACAGAACCACAAATTCCTGGGTTTCTACTTCCAGATAAGCAGCAGAACTCCAAGAGACACTGTCTGCAAGGCCGAACCTGACCCTTCTGCAGGGATCCTCTGGCAGCCGGAGGCCCTGGGGCTGCAGCAGGAGTTCGTGGGGCAGCAATGGAGGGGGAAGCCTGAGGAGAGAAGTGGTTCCCTTCCCATCTCCTGCCCGTGAGCTAAAAGACAAAATGTTGGCAAATCTCAGGTTATGTCCACCAGTACTTCCTCACTACAAACAGGAACATCAAGAGTAAGTTTGCAACATCATCCTTCACTCGCTGGAGAGGATGCAGTGCCCAGTACTATGCTCAAGCATTTGATCCTGCTCCCAGAACTTACTTTGGTTCTGAAGCAGGACAGTGGCTCCCCCACATAGGAGATAAATCAAAATGAGTAGGAGTTGTGTGAACAGCAACAAAATGGAAAGTGGAGATGAATCTGGAAAGCAAGCAAAACCAGGAGAAAAAAGCATAGGAATGCTTTTCTTTACTAAGAGGGTCCACATCTAATATTGTTGGCAAAATTGTGTAAGAGACTAATTTCAATTAAAAGGAGATATATCCTGAAAATGAACCTGGAGGGGCACATATACAAATAAATTGTACAGCTTGCCTGTGGCTTGTAGTAAGTTATCCTCCAAAGTTTGGTTTTTCAGCTGAATAAACAAAATTATAGATGGAAGAGGACAAAAATATTTATCAAATTACCTCAAAATTTTATAGATTGCTTTGTGAAATTGTTTCCTGCCCTATCTGCCACAATAGGAAAGATATGTATATCAAGGAAAATATAATCACATTCTCAGCCAGTTCCTTGAAAACCAAGCCAAACCACACCACCCCAAATTCAACCCGTCAAACCCCGCTACCACCCAGCTCTCACTCAGACGCCCTCAGAATAGCCCAATTTCCACATGGCGATGGCTGCATGCAGGCTGCCAGGCCCAGCTTTGCTCCCGGGCCGGGGAGGACATCCTGCTGAACAACATGGAGCCTCTTCTGCCTATGCACAGCTCGGCTGACAGAACAGCTCTGCTGGAACCCCTCCCCGAGGAAAAGAGGTTTGCAGTCTTTGCTGGTGGCAGATCTGTTGAGTGTGGAAGCTGGCTTACACACATACTTTCCACAGCTGGGCATGCTCCTCTGTATTTACATTTCCAAGCATGTCTATACTGCATGTCAGTCCTGCAATTTTTACTGTGCAGCATCACCATTACCTTAAATCAAGATCTGTGAACGTTAGATTACAAAGGAGAATGTTTTCCCTGTCCTCTTCTTAAGAAAAAGAAAAGCCTAAGAAAGTCAGTGAATCCAAGCAGAGACTTCAGAAGTCTCCTTTCAGGCAATCAAAGGCAGGATTTTCCAACCAGGCAGCTGTAGTTCATTAGATCCGCCATGGACCGTGAAAGCCACTTGCCAATAGTGTCGAAAGACTATTACTCATTTCAATCTCTCTGAAGAGGACAGCTCTCTGACAAAGCATTAGTGAAA